TAGGGCAATGCTACTTAACTTGCCCAAGGTCACACAGCTAGTAAGTGAAGCAACCCAAGACTCAAAGCTTATTCAGTCTGACAAACATTAACCAAATGCTTAATATGAGCCAGGAGCTAGGGACACAAAACTAAAAATGAAATCGTCCCTCCTGCTGAAATTACATTCCATGGATATTCCAGGACTTTTAACTCCAAGTCCAGTACTATATTCAATACACTGCGACCTGTTTGCTGTAAGGTTTCCTAATGAGAGTAGGCAGGAAGGAAAATATAGGTTGAAGAGGGAGCTCATAGATTGAGGAAGAAATAGACAGGCACATAGACACAAACAAACCATGCTTAAGTTACCTCCAAATCTACCTGATATTCCCAAGGAAGCCACGGAGGGGCAGCAGAGAGCTGCTAAAAGTCACACTTCGTCCCTTTCCCATCTGTCCTCGAAGGATACCTAAGAACTCCAGAACCACCACCCTAGACCAGGCCTCCTCACCTCTTGTCTGGAATATTGTAGTCAGGCCTTTCCATCTCCACTCTCGTCACTGTGCACTAGAATGAAGGATCCACCCACCACCTCCTACATCGCTTCCCTACCCACCACCCCGAAGACACAATGACCTTGGATTGGAGAGAGCCCCAGACCCTCTGCTCCCCTGGTCACTCCCACCAGGATTCTACCTTCAAAGTGGAATTAGCCTTCTTACCATTTCTTCTATTCATTCCTTTCTCTCCTTCTATAATTACCACTCATCTATACTTTTTCTTTTAAATTCGGAACTCAAACACTAAAGGAGCATTTTTGTGTTCTGTATATATGGAAACAAATACACAAGCAGAACACAAAAAGAGGATTATGTATGAAACTTAATCTCCATTTCATACCACTTGTTTTGTTTTGGTTTTGGCTAGGCAATGGGGTAAAGTGACTTGCCCAGGGTCACACAGCTAGTAAGTGTTATGTGTCTGAGGGCAGATTTGAACTCAGGTCCTACTGACTCCAGGGCCAGTGCTCTATCTGCTGCACCACCTAGCTGCCTTGTTCTAATGTCTTTTTAAGTTTGTCCTTACGATATTGTCCGTGTCAGAATCGTTCCCCTGGTTCTGCTGACTTCACTCTATATTGGTTCATGTTACCCAGAATTCTCTGAAATGTTCTCACCACTTCTCACAATGAAAGAAGACTTAATTATATTCAGATGCCATATTTTCCAGCTATTCCCCAATTGACGGACACCCCTGTAGATTCTAGTTCTTTTTTTTCTTTTGCCTTTTAATCCCCCCTTCAGGATCAAGAAGTTTGTTTAACTTGCAACTATGCCCTACTCATGTTATTCTTCCTCTATTAACCACAACCCCCATTTCACATCTTCCCACTCTCTGGACTTTCTCTACCATGCCACAGAAGCCTCTCACCCTGGAAGTCTGCTCTCATATTGGCCTTTTCGTGGTAGACACACATTCTGCCTCTGCAATCTCTTCCTCTGATAGGTTCTTTCCTTCCAGAACCTCCATTTTAAGGAAAGTCCAGCCATGACTTGATTTTTCTCCTCCCTACCCCCTTTCTCTGTCTTTCTGTCTCTGTCTCACATTATATGCAAGGACAATAGATGCCTAACGAGTTATTAAGAAAAAATGGGGAATTTGAGGTCCATTCCTAAACTGAAGAGATTGACTTAAAAGGAGCACAAGCCAAGCTTCTCTGCAACACTTGCTTTAAAGCCTGGATCAGACACAAAATACAGGTAGTCCTGAAAAGTCCCGAGTCATTGTGGTAGTGTGGCAAGCACACTCTGGCTTTAGAGTTAGAGGACTGGGTACATACACATCCCTTCTCTGATGTTTACTACCCATGTAAATATGGGCAAATCATTTGACCTCAGATTCATCTATAAAATGAGAAGATTGGACTAGAGACGATCCTAGGACTTAATTTACAACACTGTATCTGTTGCACATCATCTCCTCAAAAGTCACTAGCCATATTTATCTCCCCCTTCTAATTAAACATATTTTTCTTTGACCACTAGTGTTCAATTGTAAAAAACAAAAAACAAAAAACAAAAAAAACCAACAAGCAAACCTCTCATTCAGTTTCATTTTTTTCTTGTTCTGTATTATTTTCCTTTTTTCTATTTTTTTATCATATTTTTTCTGTTATTACAAACGTACGCTTCAATACTTCAAGAAATTTTTAAAAAAAGATTTCTTTTTACATAGGATTCAGAGCTAGAATAGACCTTAGGGATCTAGTCCCATTCATTATTTTACAGGAAAAGAAATTGAGGCAAGAGCCTTGTCCTAGGGACTCACACAGCTCAATAGAGCCAGAGTCAGGCCTAAAGCTCGAGTCTTGACAACTAGACCAGCGATCTTTCCACTACACCCAGTTACCTGCCCAACAAATCTTGATTTTCATTGGATGAATTAACATAAAGAGGACAACTCTAATAAGGTTGCCAGAAAAATCCAAGTTTAGAGGAGATAGAGGTTTTTGTTGTTTCACAAATAATCTCACAAAGTTTAAATGGATTTGAAACAGTATTCCCAGGATAAGATTCAGAAACAGAATCATCTTTTTGTTTATATTTTGTTTATTTTTATATTTGCTTATTTTGTTTATATTTTGTTTATTTTTGTTGTTGTTGTTGTTCAAAGAATCGTTAGCTGTTTGTTCCAGTATTGGGGAAGCTTTACCAGATCAGGAAAGAATGTGGGGAAAGTGGGTATGTGAGTGAGGGAGAAATAAATGCCTTAGTGAATTGTAGTTCACAACCTTATGTGAATCTGACACTGAGAATACAAAATAAATCTGGCACTGAGAGTACAGAAATAAAACAGTTGCATGCACATTGAATCTTGTCTGGAAGGCAGTTCAGGCTTTGAGAAAACAAATTCTGTGATGTATTTCCTGCCCACCCCACCCCCACCCCCAAACAGCCCAGTCTTTCCTGGCTGACTTACCAATCTAAAAAGAGAAAGGAGAAAAAGCAAGATACCAAACAACATCAAACTTTAATTTTCAAAGATTACAAAAAGAGTTCTGCTTTAACACTGACATGGTCATCTACCAACTTGTGGTGGGATTTGAGAGTTTGTGGAACCCTTCAACTCTGCAGACAGATAGCCTGAATAGGCCTATACTGCATTTTCAATGGGACTTTCGAAGTAAAGGGCCCTGTCTCCATAAGCCACACGAAGTCAGTCTTGCTCCAGACTTGCCCTCACTTAAAAGTGAGCCCACTGACCAGCATCAGTGTATTTGATATTTTCAGTCATTGATATGTGTGCATAGGCTTTGCCAGACCAGTGATCTTGTCCACTCTCACACCTTCTACAAACAGCTTCTTGATCAGATAAATTAGTCCTGTCCACAGTTTGCAAAAGGGCTACAATTCTTGACTTTGCCTCTTGGGATTCTAGCTGACCCCAAGCTTTTACTCAAGATGGTCCTGTATTTAAGTGCACACACTGAGCTGATGTATCTGCCAGTTTTTCCTCAACTATCCACATCTGGATCCCACTGTTCAGTTAATCCCATTGTTTAAAACTCTTATTCACAGGGTAGTTAAAGTGTTTCTTATACTCCAAATGCTTGTATTTTAGCAGGAATAAACATGCTTCTGCGTAAGTCACATAGCACAGATGTTAGAGTACTGGACCTGGAGTCAGGATCAAATCCTGGTTGATACTTAGTAGCTATACCACATTAGACAAACCACAATCTCCGAGCCTTAGTTTCCATGCTGTAAAATGAAGATAAGAATATCTATAGCACCTATCTAACAAGATTGTTGTGAGGCTCAAATGAGATTGTGTATGTATAAGACAGCTAACATTGTTGCAAGTCACCTTACCTCAGCTCAATACATCAGGTTCTATGTCTCTTAGCTGTGAAATTTATCAACCTAATTTTTTAAAAATTTAAAATTTAAAATTTTTTAAAATTTTTTAAAAAACAGTATTACACAAAATATAACTCCACATTATAAAGAGGGACACCCAGGGTAATAACAATGCCACAGAGCAGAGCCGTAACTAGTGAACCTGGGGCAGATCCAGCTGTGGGAAGAAATAGTGTGGTCCAGAGGACAGTCAAATTGAAAGTTTAGTCATAGCAGGAGGAGGCAGCCCATCCCCTAGAGAGTGTGACCATTGTTTCCACCAGGACCAAAGAAGAGAGGAGTCTGGGAAAGAGGTGGGTCCTGGGGGTGGAGACCAAGGGCAGTTGTGCCATAAGCCACCAGAGGACCATGAGGTGAGTCACGAGGATGGGGGGCAGAAGAGACTACCGCCCCCCACCAATAGGACATGTTTCCCCATAGAGAGGAAGAATGTCCCTCAAGGGAACAGTCATGCACTCTTGAGTGCCAGCACCCTGGGGCAAAACCCCATGTCCCCAGTATATTTCAATGCTAGACAAGTAGGAAAGGATGCCAAGGTTCATTTATTTCTCTTTTTATCTCCTAAAAGAGGTAGACTGGGATGAAAGAGGAATCGAAAGGTTAAGCAAATGCTCACGATTTCTTCACAAAGTTGATCTCATTGGCCTCTTGTGCTTGGGGCAAGGACCTAAACTATGGAGATTCTGGCCTATAATGAAAGACCCTGTTAGGTTAAGAAAAGAACAGGTATTTAATCATAGATGGAGGGCTTTTCCTTTCTGGTTAAAGTCCTGATTCAAGCTCTGGCAGAAGTAACCCTGCTTATAAAGTGGTGTGTGTCAAAGTCTACAGCCGTACTATGCATGGTAGCTCCACCTAAACCACTCAATGGCTAGTCCGTTTGGTTTCCATCTGACATTTTGCCATGGCCATAGGTGGTTCCCAAAGGTCTTCTACCTTTGCCACAGAAACGTAGTAATAACATTTTTACAAATCACCTTGTGTGTGTTACCTCATTTGATCATTATAACAACCCTTGTGAGGTAGGTGCTCTTCTTATCTCCTTTTCATGGATAAAGAAACTGAGGTTGAGAGGGTAGGTTACTTTCCCAGGGTCACATAGCTACCAAGAGTCTGAGGCAGGATTCAAACTCAGGTCTTTCTGACTCCACATCCAGTACTCCCTCTGTTACACCATCAAGCTGTCTATCATTAAAATGCCCAGGAGGACATCAGCCTCTCTTTTCCTAATTGGTTTCTAGTCCTTTTCTTCTAAAGAGTCTGGAGTTAAGGGAAACTGATAACATGGAGAATTTTAGTCCTGAGAAGGAAGTATTGGTGGAGACAATTTTATACAGGATCCTGCCTTAAAATACTCAAATGCCTCAACGTTGCTTGGAAGGGACACTGGGCTCTTGAAGGTCAAGCTGAAAAGGTTTTGCATTTAGTCCCGTTGATGGATTGCATCTGTCATCCAAAGACCAGTCTAGCTGAGTCTGGAAAGACTTGCCACCAGGCTGACCATAGGGTGCTTGATGTCTTTCACTCAGAACAACTCAAAGCTCATCTATTAAGTTATAGAGGAGCTGTGACCTGCCACGGTGAGGGGAGGCTCCACAGAGACCAGCATGGATCTTTGAGGTATTGAGGTATATACAGAGTACATAGGGTAAGGATACAAGACACCCAGAGTTAACGTGAGGGATCAAGATACTGACAAGCTCGGATGTTGGGGGCTGGACTGAGGTGGGAGCACAGTAATGAGATACACACCTCCCTAAAAGGATGGGGCCCTGAGCCCCTGAAGGGCTGGGGTGATATCAGAGGGCCAGGATGAGATAATGTCTTGCAGTGGGTAAAGATCTGGTGCCTGGCCTGCCTTTGTGGGTACGCTCCCATTACCAATGCCTGAAGTCAGTTTGTCTCCTTTTGAAGTCTCCGGAGATAGGTTAGAGTAAATGAATTCCTCAGAGCTCTGTGATCCTGAACAAATGATTAAAGGAGCCACATTTTTCCCTTCATCATGTAGGCAAGGCTCAAAGAAAGGGCGAAGTGGGCCAGAGAAAGTATGGATGAACGTATAGATGTGAGATTTGTTGGTCGCGTCGTAGAAGGAGACAAAGCCAGCTTCATAGTCCAGGAAAATGCCCACGCTTCGGGGTCTCTCTTTGAGGCGGAAGAAAGTCTGCGGGGAGGTGAGAGCTTCATACTCATTCATCCGACTCTGACGCAACAGCCAGTGTCCATTGGAAGGTGATGCCGTGATCTTCCCTTTCCTGTTCACTGACTCACTGCACACCCCAAGGATCCACTTGGTTTTGTCTCCTACGCACACCTCCCAGTAGTGGCAGCCAGACGTAAAGCTTGGAGACCCCAGGACACTGACAACAAAGTCAAATCTCTTAGGGCTGTCAGGAACATCCTGCCGTTTGTCCCCAAGCCTCACACTTCTCAGATTCTCGGAGAGGAGGAGTTTGGGATGAGCTGTATCTGGATCCAAAGTCACCTCCACTGCAGAGAGAACAAGATGAGTATTGAGACTGGGACAAGGTTAGGGCGCAGGAGACCTTCGGAAAGCCTTGCAAAATATCTCCAGGCCCCTCTCATGGGACTGGTCCCAGCAAAGGAACGCTTCTTTTGATTCTGCCAAGACTACTGCTAAAAAAAAAAAAAAAAAAAGACTGGAAAGGGAAGAAATCTTCTGAGTGATCTGTTTGTAAGGCTGCCTTACTCTTCAAGGAAACGCTACCTTTGTCTCTGGCAGAAGGAATGGGGCAAGACTAGGGCGTTTAGAAGCTGGAGGAAAATCGGCAGCAGAACATTTATGCAGATCAGTGTCACTTACCCGGGTGCAGTCTGGCTCTTCTCCAGCCTGCAAGGGGACACAAGCAAGACAGTGGTTAGCTTTTCAGGGAAGGACTATAGAACGCCAGGAAACTCCCGGAGGAGATGAGGGAGAGATATCAGAAACGGTATCTCACCTGCATCTGCGGCGGTTCTTTTCAATTCTGTAACAGATCAAATAGGGAGATGAGGAAATAATACCTGGAAACGTAGCCCCCATAGGGGACAAGTTGGAACTGACAGTATTAAGGAAAAACAGAACTTACTGAGCTCAGCCCGATGTTTCTCTAAAACATAAAAAGTTTGAGAAATCAGTCTAGGTATTACTGCTCCAGAGAATCCAGCCCAGCTAAATCGCAGTCCCATTCCAAATTCTCCTAAGTAATACACTGCTAGGTAACTAGCATACTTTGCCATAAGGTGGGATCCACTCTTAGACCTTGTTTAAGAGGGTTTAGTTGCCAAAAGATCAATAGGACCTTCTTATGCAGTGATTGCACCTAAGAGGGGCTTTTGTTATGTAAACCCAGTGTATAAACCCAGCTTAGTTAATGATTACTAAGTTTCCCATTTATGAGGGGGGGGAAAGTGGGTTTTTCTAGATCTGGTGTTCTTAACCTATAGTCCATGGACCCTCCAGATAGATTTTAGGAGATCTGTGAATTTGTATGGAAAAATTACATTTTTATTTCAGTATAATTGGTTTCCTTTGTAATCTGATGCATTTTGTTTTGTTTTGTTTTGTTTTGTTTTGTTTTTTCATTTAGAAATATGATTCTGAGATGTTTGTAGGCTTCTCCAGACTAGGATAGAGAAAAGTTTGAGAATCCCTAGGACTCTGGGCAACCTGATCTGACACTCTAGGGTTCTACAAGGAACTTTGAAACCCAGGAAATCTTCATTCCCATAAACAGAATCCCACCCCTTCTACCCTTGGGGAACTGAAACCTAGACCTGTGAACTTTCTGAGAAGCCTTGTCAGCAGAAAATAAAGTGTGCCGCCACTTGGGGGAGGGGCAAAACTTACCGAGTCCTTTAAGAAGTCTCCCTAGGGGGGAAAAACAAACAAGCAAAGATTGGTGAGTAACGTCACTTTTTCTCTTATATAAATGTCAGGACTCCCAGACACAGGAATCCCATCCCAGAATGGGCCATTACATCACTAGCTTCATTCCCCCAAAGGATCCTGGGATGTTTCATCCTAACTTCTTCATACTAAAAGGATGCGCAAAGTTTCTTGTTAATACTTTATCAATAGCATCTCCCAAAGATCAGAATTTTGGAATTATATTATTCTGTAGTCATTTCACTGATTTTATGACTTTTTCTATGAGGTCTTCCTAATTTCTTCTAATCTTTACTTCTTTTTCTATTCTATTTCATTTTAGTTGGCCTTCATGGGTATATGTGTGCATGTGTGTATATTGTCTTGTGTGTGTGTCTACATTTACACAAAAATGTGAATATGACTACAGGTGAGTATGTCAGCATCATGATAGAGAAATGTGGCTTGGATGATAGTCTAAAGCTAAATTAAGTACCAGTTAAATAACCAGTAGTGGTTATTTAACCCAAAGTAGTGATTAATGGATTGCTATCCATTGGTAAGCAGTCTCTGGTAGAGTGTCACATGGCTCTGTGCTTGGCCCTGTTCTGTTTGACATTTTTAGCAATGCTTTAAATAGAAGCATAGATGGCAAGAGTGTCACATTTCTGATTAATGAATCTGGGGAGAGTGAGTAACTAATGAACCATTAGAGAATAAAGATTCTAAAACATCCCAACAGGCTAAATCTAATAATATTTAATAGAGATAAATATAAAGTCCTACACTGGGGTTTTCCCCCCAAAATTAATTATACAAGTACAGGCTGATCTTTTTTTTAAAAAATGTGAAAAGATTTTCATTTACTGCAAACTAATATGAATAAAGCAGTTGGAGCTGAAAGTTACCTCAGAAGTCTCCTATTTCATCCCCCTCATTTTTCACTAATGAGGAAACTCAGGCCCAGAGAAGTCAAATGACTTGCCTGCGGTCACATAGGTAACAAGTAGAGGGAAGGGGAGGAGAGGAGTCTTCCTGACCCAAAGCTCAGCACTCTATTAGACCATGCTAAACAAATTAGCATTTTGTAATCAGGAAGAATTTTTTTTTTTTAAGAAACTGATAGGGAAACTAACATAGGTGGGAATTTGATAACCAAAAACCAAGTTCTGATCATGGTCATCCCTATATCCTCTCGTGCTAATTCCATAATCTTCTCATAATTTCTTTAGCACTAAACATTTCATTCAGTTAATATTCATGGAGCATCTATGGTCATTGCAAGAAAATGCATCCTTGATTATAGGGAAAGAAAAGTTACTCATCCCTCCCTTGTCCCATTTATCTCAAATAATTACCTTTCTCTTTCCCATGATCTGAAAGAAGATTTTCTAGAAAGAAAGGAAAAGGAAATGAGATCTAGTCCTATCACTTTGATGTTTCTATCTCTATGTAAACTACAAGGTTAATCTTGTTTTATGGAATAACTACATTTTGATCAAATTAATTGTAAAGTGGATTGTATGTAAAGCAAATCCTATTTTCTCTATTTCTACTATATCCTATGACAGTTTGAATGTAGGCCACACTTTCTGTCCTCCCTCTCCCCATTGGGGAGTGTAAAATCTGAGTATCTGAATGGTTATCACATGGAACAATTAGACTTCTTGTACTTGGCAGAAGCCAAAACCAAAAGCAATGTAAGGAAGAATTTACTAAGAGTGAGAACTGTTGAAATGGAATAGTCTGCTTTGGGAGTTGGAAAGTGTGCTCTTATCTGGGATCTTCAAGCAAAGGCCGGATCACTATTTGTTGGGGGTCTTGCTGAGGGAAATCCTGTCCAGGTATGGATTGAACTGTATCATCCTTGAGATTCCTTCCAACTCTGAGATTCCATAGTACTGTGATTCCACATGTGGTCTATCTTCACATTTTTTGTGCCATAGGGTATGAAAAATATAGGAAGTCTTCACTCATGGGAAAGTATAATTTATTTTCATTTGAGTCAATTCATTTTTATTTCCTTTCAAAGAGATTTCATTTCAGGAGTATGACTTTTATTCAGTCCAATATGGTCATTAGAGTTGTATTCCCACAAGGGGAAACAATTCCTTAAAAGACTGAGTTGAAAACTTCCTATTCTATTCCTAGACTGTTATATCTGGAAGGAAGCTTAGGAATCATCAAGTACAACCTTAGCATTTTACCCATGAGGAAACTGAGGTCCGATAAAATAACTCTCCCAAAGACACACAGTGAATTAGTAGCCCATCCAGCCCATTTAGAACCCAGAGCCCTTGGTTCCCTATCCCACGGTCTTTCTGCTTCACCACACTACCCCTTTTGTGATGTGGAGGTTAAGAGGATGGCCAGGCCTATGGTTTGGTGGTTACCATTATACATCAGCAATCCCATACCTGCTGGAAACTAGTTCTCCCTTTGTATTTCACTTCTTACTGGCATTTCTTTCTGTATTTCATTTATTCACCTAGCTAGCATGGTTACAATTTTCCAACTCCAGGATCTCTTCTTGCCTATTAACACCATGCCCTGCCTCTTCATCAGAGCAGAGAAATTTTTTTTTTTTGCTTAAGGATTCCTTGATTCTACTCTTACATCACTCAAGAGGATTACAGAATCAGAAGATTTGGAACTGAAGGAGACCTTGGAGATCAGCTACTCCAATTCCCACACTTTGCAGAAAAGGAAACTGAGGCCCAAGGAGGTAAAATGACTTGAACAAAACCACAAAAGTGCTAAATAGAGTCAGAATTTGAACCTAGGTCTTCTGATTCCAAACCCAATATTCTTTTTCTTCTGGTCCCTTCCAACTCTAAATTCCTATGATTCTAGGAAGCAGATGTCATCAGTTCATAACCTAGTGAATTTGAGATGTCAGGGTATACAAAATGAATTTCATTCTTGCTTTTTTGACCCTTTAAATTCAAAATTCCAATAACTAGTTTACTTAGAACAAAAGATACCTTCAGGTTTCCCAAACTAAAACTAATGGCACATAATCTGACCAAGGATATTATTTTCACCAAATCTCATGAAAGGAACATTTTCTTTTCTATTTCCTTCATAGAACTATTATAAGCAATTTTCTTTTGTTTTATATGAACTTTAAAAATTATATAAATGAGCACTATTATTATTATATTGTTATAACATATATGTAACATGCTATAATATAGTATATAATATATAATGTATAATATGTATTATGGCATATTATTATTATATACTATATTATTATCTCTTCCTTTTTCATGGGGTTTAGATAGAAATGGTTCCAGAAAAAGTTAATCTCCCACTATCATTCTTTTTTTACTTAATATTCTATGGACTATTACATATGGAGATATAAAGTGACTACTTTCTGTAATTAGATAAAAGTATTAAGATGTAAGCTAACCTCCTGTAGGCTCACTGAAAGCATCCTCTTTCCAACTCCTATAGCTGAGTGGACAATAGGCACCTTATCCTGTTCCCATATGGTTTTGATTTCCTCTGCCAATTTTCCACATTTCAAAAGTTTTTTATTTCATATAGTTTGAAATTTATGAATATTAGACATGGTGAAATCTATTTAAAATTATGTTCTTTAGTTTTTATAGATCAGTGTTACATCCAGGTGATTTTGGAAGATATTTTGGTCTGTAAGGATGGTGTAGTTCCAATACAATTTATTGGTTGAATTATCCAGGATATTTTAAGTCCCATCTTTGTAACATGGATGTTTGTTATTTCTGGTTTTATGAAAAAAAACCACATTTCTGATATATAATTCTAGTAAACAGATCACGTCATGCTAGATATTTTGTAGTTACTAAAATTTTATAGCCTAAAATACTGTCTTGCACAGTTTCTACTGTTTTCTACAAAAGCTACATTGATCACTATGTCTAGGCTCCTTAAAAATTTCTGGTGGCAATAAGCTGACCCAGAATCGCAGTCATAAACCTCTCCATTTCTACAAACAAATTCACATGACCCAGACATTTGTTTGACACTTCTTTGTCAACATTTTACAGCTTGAGTTCAAGAGGATGTCAACCATGACCTTTTTATTCCACTCTTGGATCATAGCTGTTTGATTAGTTTTATCTAGAGGTAACCACTTTGGGCTGTATACAATAAATCTGAAGACATGCACCTGTGTGGTGAAGTGATATCTTTTTGTTCCAAAAATATTTCACCTGTTTATCACATGCTCTAAGAAAGTCTATCAATCCTCTTCCTCCTTTTTTGTCAAAGAAGTGTTAACCTTTCTATAGACGCCTTACGGTGATGGGTCCTATGTTTCACTAATATTTTGCAGAGTTTTGTTAAGATAATTTTCCAGATATGTTATTATCGTTTTATTATACAAGAGTCCTACTCCATATCCTTGATTTGGGTATCGAGACCATATTTGTATCATAGAAAGAGATTGGGATAGTGCCTTCTTTTCCTGTTATTGCAAATAGTTTGTGTAATATTGGAAGTAATTGGTATTTGAAAATTTCATAGAATTCACTTGCAAATCTTTGCAGTTCTGGATTTTTTTAAAAAAATTTGGGAGTTCATGTATGTATTGTCCAATTTATTTATCTGATATTGAGTTATTTAGTCTATTTCATCTTTTGTTAAACTTCATATTTTTGTACGTATTCGTCCATTTACTTATCAATTTTGTTAGCAAAAGTTTATAATAAATTCTTTTAGTTCCTCTTAAATTTTGTGAATTCTGCTTTTTCACATTTGATATGAACACTTTGGTTTTCCTCTCCTGAAAATCATTCTATTTGTTTACCTATTTTATTAATTAAAAAAAACAATTCTGAGGTTTATTTATTGGTTCAATAGTTTTTGGCTTTTAATTTTATTAATCACTTCTTAATTTTTGGAATTTCTACTTTGTTGCTTTGTTGAAGTTTTCTCATTCATTGTTGTTAAAGGGTTTTTAGTTGCACTAATAATTAACTGATTGGTTTTTTCTCTTTTAGTTGATGAAAGCATTTAGAGATATAAATTTTCCCCTCAGAATTGCTTTAGCTTCATCCCCAATGTTTTGTTATATTATCTCATTATTGCAATTTTTTAAATGAGATTTTTTATTCTTTCTATATTTTATTCTTTGACCAAACAGTAAGTATGTTTAGTTTCTAATTACTTTTTAATTTTTTCAAGGGCCCTTCAATAAAAATAATTTTTTTTTGCATTGTAATCAGTAGTTGTTATGTTTAGAATTTCTGCTTTTCTACATTTTTATGAGCTCTTTATTCCCCAATACATGGTCAGTTTTTGTAAAGGTGATATATAAAGCTGAGAACTATGTAAATTTTTTTCTATTCTCATTCGGTACTCACCATGGACTGATCATCTCTAATTTCTACAAAGTTCTAATTGAGTACTTAGTTTCTTTCTTGATTATCTTTTGATTAGATTTGTCCAGGTCCCCTACTATTACAATTTTACTATCAATTTCTCTCTCCAATTTGATTAACTTTTTCTTTAAGTATTTAGGTGCTAAGCCATTTGGTGCACATATTAAATACTGATATTGATTCATTATATAGGGTGCCTTTAAGCATAATTTAATTTCTCTGCTTGTCTCTTTTTTATCATGTTTATACTTATCGTAGTCTTATCTGAAATCTTAATTGTTGTTACTGATTTTTTTTTTCAGTCAGCTGAAACATAATAGATTTTGCTCTGGTCCCTTATTTTCACTCCTTATATGAATCCCTATGTTTCAAGTGTGTTTGTTGTAAGTAACATATTATTGGATTATGTTTTCTAATCCATTCAGCTATTCTCTCCCATTTTATGGACGAATTTATCCAAAGTCCTACGTCAGCACATCATCATATCACAGACATGACCCTGGGCTCCCAAAGGCTATAACAGTATAGTGCAAGCACTGACAGGCCCTACCAAGCTGGAGGAGTTCTGAGTATGTTCTTAGCGATGAACTATAAATCTCTTCCATGAGAACCAGTCTGAGCTAAGTTCAGTGAGGCTCATCATCAGGTTGGCTGGAGGGTGATTTTTTTTTGTTTGTTTTTGGTTCTAGTTTTTGCTGTAGCAACTCTTGAAGACCATCTATCAGATCATGTGATTTGGATCAGAGAATGGAACACCTGCCCAGGCGATAACTACAGTTATTTGAAGTATCAGCATAAATGTTATTATCATCATTTCTTGAAATAAGAGCAGTTCCAGAAATTCTGTTATAAGGATTCACAGTTATAAGAAAGAGAATCCAAGAGCAAAGAGAGATTTGAGCACATGTGTGGAGAAAGTCAGAGCACACTCCTAAAAAACAGAAACAAGTGAGATTAATTTGCTATGGTTCTATTACAGAAGATCTGCTTCTTATTCAAATTAATTAAGAATCACATTCACCCAGAGTCACTAATTACAAGAGCAAAAACACAGAGGAATAAGAAATTCAGGAAGGAGTAGAGTTTGGCTTTATTAGAAGCCAGACAAGGGTAATGAAAGAAATGTACCCAGCAACTAGCCATCTTGTTTTTATCACTCATTATTAAGATAGGCAGCAGTGACTGGTCACCAATTACTGCTCCTGACCCATGATACTTACCTATCTCTACCACTTGCTGGTAAAGAAGCTTCTCTAGGGGAAAGAAAGAAGAGACAAATGAGATTGACACTTTATATGACATTTCTTTGTCTAATTGAAAGGACTAGACTCCTAAATCAGAATATTGAAAAATGAGGGGAGGAAGAGAATAATATTCCTAATAAATGCACAGAATAAGCTTCTACAATTGATCTCAAGGATTATTTCAGTTTCATATTTCCATTACAATAGCCCAAGGGCATGACTCCAGGCCTCATGTCAATTTCCACCTTAGCCTTCCATTTCCCCCACAAAGTCCCCATCCCTTTGACTATGAGTGTTCCTTTTTAGATTTGCTTCCTTTCTGCTGGTCTTTCCAGGAGGACTCTCACTCCACAACCCACCAATTAGCCCTCCCACCCCCACATTTTATCATATTACCTCTAGATCTGCGTTGCTTCCATATGATATAAATACCCACTGCAATGAGGAGCCCCAACATAGACAGAATCACAGCCAGACCCATTGTTGAGGGGGCGACATGAAAGGGGGGAAAAGCTGAAACAGAAACCCCTAGTGTCATGAGGAAAGAATAGGGAAATAATAATAAATTGTAATAGTGATAATTCTAATGGTTACTCATAACAACATCAGGCTTTAAGGTTTACAAAGCACTAGCAAGCTGTTTAGACACTGTCTATCCATGGACGTGACAGAGACGGCAGTTTTCTCTTGCTCTGTCTCAGTTCCTTCTGGAGAGTGAGTTCTGCCTAACTGCTAAAAGGGTCTGTTTATTCTCAGGGACCAAAATGTTGAATGGCCCAACATTTAGTGAAATCTCTTTCACTGGAGCAGAGTTTTTTCTTTAATATTTTGAAAATTGTATTTCAATATAATTTGTTTCCTTTGTAATCTTTTATATTTTATTTTATGCATTCAAAAACATTATTATGAGGAGTCCCTAGTCTTCCCCAGACTACCACAGGGGTCTATGACATATAAAAAGTTTAAAACCCCTACCCTAAAGTATTTTAGAAACAAGATAGTCTCATCAGTCTGAGATGGCTTCAGTCAGTAAGATGTACTAAATGACTTCTCAAAGGCCCTTCTCATCCTACAATTCTATAGACCTAAGGATCTTCTGAAAAATGGAACAGAGCTCCTTAGTCACCAAAGAATCAATATCTTCTCATGAGAACTACACTTTCTTTCTCCCCACAAAATCATCTCCAATGAGCTCTTTCTCTTCCTGTGTGGGTCCCATCCTCTTTAGTCCCGAGGACCATAAATTGGGTTAAGCAGCATCTGTCTGTGCCACTGGCCAAAGATTTAGGCAAGGGAAGAATGGAAGAGAGGGAAAGGAAAAGAGAAAATTAGAAAACAAGAAAAGGGGAAACAGAGAAAGCAATGAAGATAAAGAAAACTTGGACATGGCCAGGAGGTCAGTACCTTTAACTATTGCTTTCAGTGATTCTTAATGGCACTCAAACCATGGATCAGACCCATGTTACCCATCCCCATATTAGAGTCCTGGGTTTTCTTTAGAGACACATGTCTCATTAAGAATCCCTTCTGATCCAAGCAAGTTCTCAGGGTGGGTCCCTACTTGATAAGAATATATCATGATAATCGTCATAGCTGATATTTACAAAGTGCTTTAAGATTTGCAAAGTGCTTTATAAAAACTATCTCATTTGATTGAAGGTTTACCTGCTATGAATAGAGTTGTTCCCTTCTCTTCACCAAGAGCAGCATTCCAAACAGAGCAGGTCATGTTCCCTGGAGAGCTGTCTCTCACAGTAATAGAAGCCTTCATTTGGAATAGCCCCTCCTTATCCAGGTATTGGGTCTCTGATAGAAGTATCTGCCCATGAGTATCTCTCCATTGAATCTGAGGCTTTGGGAACCATCCCAGGGATCTGCACACCAGCTGAATCTGTCCAGGTTCATAGCTTTCCATATGAATATAAGGATCCAAGCCCAGTGCTGGCAAAGAAAGATCTACTTAAACCAGCAATGCATCTCCCTCCATTTTCCTCCTTACCCAAAACACCGCGTTTCTGCCCCTTCTACCACCATCACCACATATACGTTCCTTTTACAGCCAGCAGGAATTGTGACACTCCTTTTTATTGTCTTCCCTGTAGCCTAAGGCAGCATCTGGGCTCAAAGATCCTGCCCATGTTGGGTAACATACCAGTTCAACCTTTGTTTCCACTGGGGATTTTGGACTGTTAATACAAGAGTTAAGATTGTCCAATTAAGGGGATGATGCAAGACGACCTGCAGATGGTTGCATTCCTAGCTTAGCCAGAGTCCTGAGAGGCAGGGATCTGGGGCCAAGCTGTGTGGCAAAATGGTATTTTTAAAAGATTCCGCTGCAGTTATTATAGTGCTGATCACTACCCAAAAGGACTTCTATAAAAGGCCAGTGATCATATATTGGATAGTACAGGACTTGGGATTGGGAAGACCTGGATTCAAATCCCATTTCTGATACTAGGTGACCATTGATGAATCACAGAATCATAGATTTAGAGCTGGAAGGAAGCTCAGAACCAATCTAGTCCAATCCCCCCTCATTTTACCAATGAGAAATCTGAAGATCAGAATGGTGACTTGCCCAAGGTCACACAGCTAGTATCTGAGCTAAGATTTGAACCCAGGTTTTCCTAAGTCCAATGTGCATCTACTACAATCTAATTCTCTACTTCTGCCATTTCTCTGGGAAAGTCATTTAAACTCTGAGTCTCCAGCGAATCTTTAAGATGTAACAGTAATAGCGAAATTTATTCTCCTCTTACCCCCACCCCAACTCACACCCAGAAACGGTTGCTACTTCCACTGAAGTGAGTATTTGGTGGGTTTCAATAAATCTTTACCATAAACAAGATAGGTAATCACTGAAAAATATTTTTGAAGATAAAAGGAAATTCATGATAATGACAGGTCCTAGTATGTATCACCCTGCACTCCCTCAGACCCCATCCTAACCTGCAACCTCCAGTTTCACAGAAGCGTTTTCGCTCAGAGAGCCAGCCTGGATCTGACAATAGTATTGACCTTGGTCTTCGAGTCGGACGTTATAAATCTCCAGAATGAAATTGTCCTCCTGGCTGTCTTTCATCAAGGCCGTTCTCCCTTTGTATTGTGGCATCTGCTCTCCATATAAATCTTGCCCATTCCGATATGCGTGAACAACCTGGGAAGCCTGAGACTTCTGGGTCCGTAGCCATTTCACCTCTACAGACTGAGGGACCATCCAGATGGATACAGGACAGCGCAGTTCTGCTTTTGTCCCCAGCATGACCAAGTTCCTTTGGTCAATCTTTCCTGTGCCATGACCCAGAGAAACAGTGTACATGAGTATAAAAGACACAAATTAACAAAGGCACAAGAATGATACAGATTGGGGATGGGATAAAGAAGGAGGTAAACTGGGGAAGGGTATGGAGAAAGACTGCCCAGGAAAAGGAAAGGGAAGGGTAGTTCCTTAATTTTTAGATCACTAGATGCCCTGGGCAGTAGAAGACAGGCAGAAACACTTACCTGATCCCTCTGTGGGCAGCTGGAGGGAGAGAAGGACGATGAGGCAGCTAGAGAGAGGGAAACTGTTGCAGCTTGCCATCTCCACCAGAGCTAAGAAAGGGACATACAAGCGCAGGGTTAGTGAATGTGATATACAAGAGAATATGTTAGATCAGAGAGACAGATGAAGAGAAGAGATGACATAAGGAGGAGCCTAGAAGAATGGAAACTAAAACTATATACTGACCATAAAAATAAAAGGTAACAATACTGGCCCTCCTTCAGGTGTGAGTGTTCTGAGTCAGTCTTTGAAAACACACACACTTATATTGAGTGAAAAAAACAGAATCAAACAATATACAAATCTGCTACTACTATGTAAGAAAAAATAAAAATAGTAGCAATGAAGGCAAGAAAAAGACATTTTAAGAAGAGTTCAGAAGGGGAAATGAAGCAAAAAGGATATTTTTTGCTACTTTTAAAGGAAATGACCTCGTGATAAAAAATACCAACAAAACAGTCTCACAAGAATTTCAATTCAGCAATTGCTGGAGAGGACATAGAAAGACCAAAGGTTCATTGGATCACATGTGGTAGTTATAACCAAGATAACTCAGTTGTGTAGCACAGTCCTTCACTCTGTCAAATATATCATAGGAACAGATTAGCTCTTCCATACTTCTATGACCTGCAGAATAACTTGAACATTTTATGGTATAAGCAATTGATATCAATTTATTTGCCAACCCATGTATAGCTCCAAAGGAAGTGAGTCAGTGCATATTCTGAGCCCCACTCAACTTTAATGCAAGGGATCTATATGACATTAAATATCACTTTTAAGTACATGAACAAGCAACTTTGCTCTATCTACCTATTCACTTTGTCTCAGTTAGCAACTAGGCAGTTACAGTTTTCTATACTGTAAACTTAAGGTCCAATTCCTTTGTAAAAATACTCCTAGTCCTATCCTTCCACTAAAACCCATCAGGGACCAAGGTCCGAATCGCAAAATCCTAAGTGCTGAAAGGGATCTTCTGTCAAAAAAAAAAA